TCAAAATAATTGAAAACAAACAGCAGATAGACAATAACAATGCCAAATGAACAAAAGAAGTCTCAGAAAAGATCTCTGAGTGGCTAAAAAACAAAGGAAAAACTTGAATCATCTGTAGAAAGTCAGCCATCAGTTAGCACTATAAAGGAAAGAGGAAGGGAGATCACTCTATGTGTCTGTTGTAATGGCTCACAGGATTGTAGGGAGGACAGGATTTTTCCATCCTTTGTTGTTGGGCTACAAAGATGGGTGCAGGTACTGTAGTTACATACTAAAGTTATGGTAGTTATTACTGAAATGAAAATTCATGTACCCATATCCATCAAGTTCTAAATACCTCTCTGTTGTACTTTATCAGATTCTGATCCACTCAACCTTAATATTATTGGAAGTTCACTAATGTTAGTACTCCACTTTAGCTAACAGTGTGTTCACCTCGTTCAGGTCCTGTAATGTACTTTTCTGTGGAGGATTTCTCAAATAGTTAATGATGTGTTATGTTGAAATAGTTCTATACCTGATGGCGTGACTACGTTCTACCCAACTCTATGTACACCTAATTAATTTATCACGTCCCTTATTCTTTCTGGTAAACCCAACCATCCTTAGCTGGTCTATAGGGAAATGCCTGTACTGTTATTTACAGGAAAAAAAAACAAGTTTGAAAAACCTGTGGCAAAAGCCTTACAGGACAACCATATATTAATCAATAAGTAATGAAAGAATTGGAATGATGCTTGAATGTGTCAGAAGGACTAAACTGTGAATTGGATCACTGCGAACATACATTGTATGTTGATTTACCGCCACAAAACCTGCGACATTAAAATGTTTTTTGTTCTGAATTTTGTAATAGACAATTTCTTTGAGTTGTTATACCCTTTATTTATAAAAAACTAGAAAATATCTGTAAGACATGAATGCCCCTGCCCCCTCCATGTGAAATAATAGTGAAAGGTCCGAAAGAGATGATTTTGTTAATTTGTATGCAACTATGTACAACTTAAGTTTCATACTTAAATTGACAAGTTGATTTAACGTACATGAATTTGGAATTTTGTTCTCTGGAAAAAATGAGGGAGTATATTAGTTCCTTATGCCTTAAAACCCACAAGTACCAAATTATGTAGAAATAAGATGATGTTCCTCTTTTTTTAGTTATCTCCCCCTGGTGGCCATCTTTTTTTAGAATGCCGAGAAATTCAAAACTGCATGAGGTCTTTCCATACTTGATATTTGTATGAAGTTTCATAAAAATTGCCTTCCGAACGAAGTTGTTAGGTGGTATATACTAATTTGGGATGCGACGCTAGGGACGGGACACGACAGGACAGGATGCGACGCGACGGGACAGACGGACATGGGCAACGCTACATGCCCCCGGCCATAAATGGCGGGGGCATAAAAAAAACCTACGCACCACAAAGCATACACATAATATATATGATTTTTTTTATAAACATACGCATCACAGAGCATATACTTAAGTACATAATACCTACATATTTTATTTCTCTTACACACCTAAACATACATATATTTCCACCAAGGAAAAAAGCTGTGGTGTATAAAAGGGAAAATACCTTAAACATTTTTTCTTACACACCTAAGGACAGGTAAACACATTATGTTATTTTTTTTTCTCTAAATCACTTACACATCACCACGCGCTATCAAATAGATTTCTCCAGTACACCTATGTATCATAGAAGCCATCTATATACTTACACATCTTATCAATACAAACCATCCAGAACAATTTCTGCTGTTTACCTAATTACCACCAAGCACATCCCCAAAATACACTTAAACACTGCCAAGCATAATTTCTCCTGTTTACCTAATTACCACCAAGCACATCCCCAAAATACACTTAAACACTGCCAAGCACAATTTCTCCTGTTTACCTAATTACCACCAAGCACATCCCCAAAATACACTTAAACACTTCCAAGCACAATTTCTCCTGTTTACCTAATTACCACCAAGCACATCCCTAAAATACACTTAAACACTTCCAAGCATAATTTTTCCAGTTTACCTAACTACCACTAAGCACATCCCTAAAACACACTTAAACACTGCCAAGCACAAATTTTCTCAAGTACACTTAAATATGCATTGCCAAGCTTATATATATAATTCCTCAAATAAACTTGCATGCATAAAAATATCAATTTCTTCAATACATATATATACCAACATGCCCATATATGATTTCTCTGCATACACATACACACCACCAAGCATTATCTTATTTATCTGTCAAGCCCCTGCCCACCTGCACATATTAGTCCAATCTTCATTATTGCTGAATCATCAAATTTAAAATAGTAAGCTATATGTATTTTATAAATGAGCTTTCCCTAAACTATTATTCACTTTTAAATTGAAGAAGAAAAAGTGTGTGTATAGGGGAGGGGGAGGGGTGTAATTGAGGATAGTAAAGTATATGTGGAATCATTTGATCATTCTGTTGAAAGTGAGAATTAGGTTGATCCAGGTATGGGGATTAAAGGATAAACATATATTATCATGCAGAAGTTGTTTACCATATTTTCCGGCTTATAAACCACACCCTATATAAGCTGCAGAGATAATCTTGAATGTTTTTTCGATTTGATTTCCATATTAGCTGCACCGAAATAGAAATCGCATCCTTTCTTACGATGTGGTAACAGTTATGTTGACCAAAGTTTCTCAATATAACAGACAAGGAAAGGCAATCAATCAATTAATCACCTTCATTATCTCACCTGTAGGACTAAAATATGGAGGAAGCATTCCAAAAGTAAATGATTTGGATATTTAAGGAGGTTGTATGTCTTGAACTGTGAGCTGAAGTAGTCTGTAAAATGAATATCATGATGTACCCCCAGTACTCATATATATTTAATAAAGACCCCAAAACAATCTAGCAGTATTGGGTGCATACATCAAATATGCACCAATTTGCAATGCAGTGTTTTTATGTATTAAACCATTTGACTTCAATTAAACTGAAATGAATATCGATTAATATCAGCAAATAATTACTAACACAAACAAATTTTTAACAGACATATTTTTATTATTTTTATTATTTTTATTTATTGACTGTATTCAAAATCAAATTACCACATTTTGTCCTGTTTTGGAAAAAATGAATCAGCTTGTTTGAAAATTGAACACTCAGTGTCACCAACACAGAAATAAGCTTTTATTCACTAATGATGTCCATCATATTGTAAACCCCTTGTGATTGCTGAAAACACATCAGTCTCCACATTTACTGACTTTTTTTCGATTTTTAAAGACAGATTGGGCTCTATGTGAAACAGCAAAATAATCAAATTCAGATTAAATTGTATTTTTTCTATCACTAATTATCATAACAAAATTTTTGTTAAACAGTTTTCCTTTTCTGGAAGAATCTCAATTATTTCTTTCCTCTAGAGTAAGGAATTTATAGTGGTATTACAATGCAACATCTGCCGTTAGTTAGTTATGTCATGTTACTTTATAAATGCGAGTTTTAATGAATACACTGTTCCTATCAGAAAGTGTAACACATGTAAAACATGACATAGATTTATTTGTGTGTTTTTCATGCTTGACTGGTTGGGCACGTTGTTTATTGCTACTTTCAGAGCTACCAATCTGACGAAAAATGATACTTTTTCTAATGAAATACATGCACACAAAAGTGACCACTGAACCTTACTGGTGACATTTATGAACAACATTATAACACAGTGCAATTATTTTTCATTTAAAAACAAAAGAGTATTTATTTCATAAACTTGACCCCTGTGTTGGTTATAAACACTGCAATAATGCTTTTGTGCATTAGTATTTTTTTAATATCTAATAATTTTTGTTTCCATCAGTTTAATATTATTGGTGCATTAGTTTCAGACCCTTTAAGAATCAATTCTTGTTTGCTACCCTGTGTTGACAAATCACCACCAAAAAAAATACATAAATGAATTCAAATGTGTTCATACTATAAGATTTATTAAAAAAAAACTAATTAGTGAAATACCATCATCAACATGTGTAGCAGACATTTGACCGCATCTCTGTTTCTAATGACATCACTAAATCACAGAGACGCCTGAGATAGCTTACAGTGACCCAGAAGTACACATGTATTACATAAAATCATCATTTGAACGGAATGACATTTTGTTAAAATAAAAAAAAAAATCATTCATGGTAAAAAATTGGTGGATATGTGTGCACCTTTTCTAAAGGGTCAGATTCAAGTTTTTATTGTTTGATTCTTTCTTTCCTCAAGCCATATTTCCTGATAAATTTCTTTTTTATGACACAAACTATATAAATAAAGTTGATTTTTCATTTCTCTTTCCACAACTTGCTAGTTTGAAAATAAAATCCAAAAGGAGTCCTCAAAAGTGATAATTTAAAAATCATCATTTTTTCAATATAAGATGCTCATGTTTCAATTTCCGTATCCGAATAATTGCAAGAAACGCATATGGCCTATCATAGGCATTAAAGGTTGGATTGGCAGGTTTCTTAGTTTGCCATGTAAAATTGAGTATTAAGAATAAAATACACAAATTTGCAATTGAAATTTAAACTAAAAATATTTTATGGTGAATGGTTTAAGAAACATTTTCTTTTATTCTTTCTGGAATCAATAGTTCATGTGATACGTCTTGAAAAATGATGATATCTAAAATTATCTCTTTAACAACATGTACACAATCAATCAATTTTTACATCGAATAAAAAAACACAAATTCGGCAACAATTACACATAAATAGAATATGTCACATTGCATATGTGTTGCAAATTGTTATATGAACTGTCAGGTGCGCGTTTAAGCGCACTCAAGCTAAAATTACTTAACGAACTACTGTGGGAGGTACTACACTGTTATAGTGATATATCTGTTGTCGTAACAACTGTCAATATCAAGCGATACAATTTGTATATCGATTTATGAACATATTTTCAGGTAGTCAGTAAAAAAATAAATTCAAAATCTTACCATGCCTCCTTTCATATAAGTGTGTCGTTGAGCTATACTAATCCTCTTCAAAACACATTTCGCTAAACAGTGTTCTTCTCAACGGGCCCTACGTGTCGGCCATTTTATTTTAAATGACCTTCACCTACATAATTTATACCTGGGTGCATTCGGCTGTATCAGTGTCCGTGCGTATTGGATAAATGTCACTTTCTTCACGACTGGGCGGCGACGAATTCTCCTCTGTATTGGTTAAGTAGTTAAACAACAAACTATTTAGCATTGCGTAGATCATTTCATCTTTTTTCTTCTTCCGCAATTTGATCATGTATCCACTGTCGTATCTGTGTACAATGTAGTTCGTACGGTGGGCTGCGCGTGAAGCTGACTACGAGTTCTGTTAACGGATTAATTACAATGGCGATTCTGATTTGAGTGACATAGATCTACATAGGTACATTTACATTTACATGAAATGATCATTTTCATTTTTAGTCCCTGGCTAATCGCACGACAAACAATAATATCAACAGATAATATGCATTATCAGGGAATCACATCTGCTTAAATAAACTAGAAATCTTACTGCTGTAATTTGATAGTGGACGATTATGTGTTACACAAGTTTTATAAGAACTTGACTTTAAAACACTATCAGAGTGCAATGTACAGTGTAAATATACGCAGATATAGCATGATAGAATCGTTATCATAAAATGCACGTAATTGGTTTTAAGCAAGACAAGACTGACTCAAAGGGCGGGTCCAGTCGGTCTCACTGATGGGTGTTGGTAGATGTAACACCAGAGTAGGCCTGGGTACCCCAGGCGCGAAACAACTCATCGTTTTAACTTAGGTGGGCAACTCCACTCCAAGATAGACATCAAATGAAAACATCTCTCCTTAAAGTTCTTTTCTTTCAATAAGATTTTGTAAACGACAAAGTGCAGCATCAAAGAAACCAGTCCCGTTAAATAAACAATCAGACCTTAAAATTATGTTTCAGCACTTATGTCACAAATGAACGCAATATTTAAGTCGAAACTCCAAACAAAAATATTACATCTCCCCAGCCAAATGACAGAACACATTTACATAAAAAATGTAGGTATGTGCGCCCCAGCGGTCGGAACTGGGAAGTTAGACTTTTTTAAGTCACGAAATGATTTTTTTTCCCACTTAAAGAACATATTTCTTATTTATTTATTCATTTTTTTGCTCCTAAGCTGGCCTTGCAACACGAAATGAAATTAAATCTTTCTACATGTGGCTTCCAAATGCATGCACAACAGTAAATATTTTTCATAAGTTTATCATTCAATGTAAATATTATTCAACACGTTTCCTGGTATTGGACATGTGTGAGACATTGATGAGTCAAGTTGTTTATTAAAGATCTCTAGGTTTAGAGTAATAGATAGAAAATGAATTCGATTGCAGCAGGAGAAGACGAATACAGAAACACTGGTCAAATCCAAAATGTCCGCTTACTAAGTTGAATAAATGTGAATTCTATATCGTGTTAAAGTGTACCTTAAGTGTTTTACAATATTTAGCTAAAAATACTACATATTATCAGAGACGTATGTGATATATACGTCTCTGATATTATAAAATCGGGTCAACAAAGTGCGAAAGTCCTTGTTAGTTCCGCTTCCCCGATATTGTGACGTATCTTAAAAACACTCCTTTGCCTCAGCGGTGACCGCCTCGATATGGGTAGCTCACATCTGTGACGTCACAAGTTTAACGCTGTCAGAGCAGCCCTTAAGAAATATACCGGGAATCTTCCATCGTGTGTTCGACATCAGATCTTTTTAGCTATTTATGTGATATATTCCGTTGATACTTACTTCTGTAGGTTGTATTTAGATAGCATTGATGTAGGAAGGATTCGTAACAATTTTAATTATGAAATTGTCACCTTTTGAGTCGACAAATTATGTTCTGTAAACATTTGTCTAAACACACATGCGGATGCTATCGAAATTCATCTGTTATCATAATTCATGAATCACGTGACTGTAGATATTATATTTGATATCGTCCATTTGGTCTCTAGAAATTATGATGAATCCTTGATTTATTATAATAATTGGAACAATTTTGCAAGTACAAAAAAAAACCACAGAAGCGTGACGTGTATTGCAATATGCAGTTATAAAAAGTCGAAAGAGATGTGAATAAGTATTTAGTGTTTGTGGCAGATGTTTATTGAAAAGTTGCATTTAGGGGTATAGGGAGATCACTTTGTTATTTCCAAGCTTCATGCAATCCTGCGATTTTAGGAAATTAACTCGTGTTAAAAGCGCTAAAAGAATTTAGGAATTTTACGCATTTTATTAATTGATATATGTCTTCAGATTGATCCCTATTCCTCACGCATAGCATTTTGCTTGGCACACGTATTGGCCTGTTGCCATGAACACGTCACACAAGTTTGTTTAATGTTTTTACCTTTATATATTTCACACCTAAGTAGAATCAGGAAGTGGACCGAGATTACTTAATTAACGAACCAGGATACTTAATCATAACGAAAGTGTTATTCTTGTATTTGGAGGAAAAAATTGAACCTCATGATTCATTTATAATAACGAGAATAATTCTATAATTACGGAACAATTTTATCAAAGTCCGTGAGTTAAATTAACATCTCATAATTAAGTGCTACACATAAAATACATTTTAATTGCCAACCTTACATAAATAAGGCAAAATGACGTAAATTTGACTTTATGATGTTTATATGTGCGCTCAGTGTCAACCTGCAAAATATACCGAGATTGGTATAAAACGTTTTTGATATTTTAATCACCATCTTTCATGCAGCAACTTAGCATGGTTTGTTGTCCCTTATAAAGGGGCCTTCGGCGTCCATCAGCCGGAGGGATTATTGAGACACCAAAGTTTACACCACCTCTCTCGATTTAACTTGATAACTTTGTATTTGTTTTAAGTTATATGTATGTGACGTAATTTATGTGATATTTGTGTCTTGATAAAGGAACCGACTGCCTCGAAAATTTGACAATTCACTTGTCTGTACTGTCGTTATTACTTCAATTATCATATATATTTATATATACATATTATCAATAATCAAAAACACCGGACACCAACGATGAAGTTATTTTGTAAATATTTTTCACGGATACATGCGTGTATTTTTGGACCATTGTGGTACCACGGTATACAACTCAGAAATTCTGGCACGACATGTGTTAAATACAGTGTTACCAGTCATCGTTACCATGTGTCGTCTGTTTGGTTTTAAGTAAACGATGATTGAATTTCACTTCTTTTTATAGTTTCATCTTTGTAACAATTAAAAGAATATTTCGGTATAGAATTTCACAACTTCGGATGTTGAGGCCAGCTTGGATACAATTTGGATAGGAATATATCATCTTAGATTGATGTTGTCCTTCATTATGCCTAGTAACATATTAAGCTTTTAGAAGTAATAACTATTGTAGATAGAAGCATTTTTTTATGATAATTTTGTGTTTCATTTGCAAATGTGCATTTTCTATTGTGAGAGAGGGTAATGTTGTAATATCGTGTGTCCCAGCCCATGTTCTAAGGCTGAAAATAAATATGTTTAAGTTAATAAATGTCTGAAAATTCTGGCAATTTTTTTAATGTTTTTTTACCGTCTACATTTTGTTGTCATCAGAATGATCCAATTCCTGATAAAAAACTATAAAACATTCATCTGTAATCTGATGATGAATGACAAGGTTGTACTTGATCTCGCCCATTTCTTGCATGTCTGCTGCTATCGGTCGTTCAACTTGTGACGTCACAACCGATAAGGTACATCTCAGCGCAAGTCACACTTGGTTGATTAGCAGTGGAAGGACAGGTGAAACTCGTTCACTTTGCACGGCCGATTTTGATGCGGTTTTCAACTTTATCGATTTTGGATCAAAGTTAATAATTTCATATTAATTTCTTTTACCACTCAGGGTAAACATTTTGTTTATATGTGCATATGGTGATGAATATTGTTTATGCTCAATATTCATAATATATATTAATTTAAACTTGCATAATTGATGAGTGAGAATAAACCGTTCAGATTTTGTTTATGTTTTTAGATAAGTTTTCATTTAATTATAGATTTCATGAAAAGAGTGTTAGATTTTCTTTTAAAATTTTGCGAACCGAGGCGAGTAAAAAAGAAATACTTTCCAAGACGGGTGTCATAAATTCTCATGTGAAATGAAAACAAATTTAAGATTCTTTTTATCACGTTACTCAGAATACTTACATCTTGACAGGATTTAAAGTAAGTAATATGGAGGATAAAATAAAACCCATTTCGTTGTGTCATTTTCAATTCATAACATACAATTTTGTATGTCATTGTTCTTATTACGAGACCACACTCGATTTCTTAGTGTCACAGCCAATGGAAAGTGTTTGAGGGTATATTTCAATAAAGGATAAATAAGCAGAAATTTTACATGGGCGAATTGACTTTTAAAAAGGTTGATAGTGTGAACAAACCTAATAGGACGATCCAACCACATCGCCCCAAAATTAGCATAGCCTACAAAACAGATTTCGCCCTCACTTCCGCACCCCTGGAACATGTCATGTCAAAATTGAAGGTTCCGTGCGCTATATCTTGTGGACAAGACTTAAAGACTAGTTTGGTCTTCTGATGTACATCAAACGAATCTCGAGGTTAAATAATGGCATGTTGTAATGGTTTTAAAGTTGGGTAACGCTCCTTTGTAATCTTCAAAAGGAGCGCATTCGCCTGTGATGTCAAATCAGCAGAGAAAACTGCACCCATTCTCAAAAAAAGTATATGTTTTTATCGTGCTTAGAATGGTTATATGATATCTCATGAAAAGTTCAGATTATTGTGGAAATTCTACGATGCGAGAAAGTGTCTGCATTTTATCAGATTGCCGAACAAATGTTAAAGGCTGCGAAAATATGTGTTTTTATTGAAAATTTTCCATTGATCTACCTAACTCAAGGGCAGATAATGTTATGCTACAAGTTTCTGCTCCACTTTCTTTATTATGTAAAAACCCTGGCTTTTTTCTACAAAGATT